GAAATATGCCGACTAGGTGTGTTGTATGAGGAATGTATGAAGCGCGATACCCTCTTGCAAATTTCGCACGTTGCTACATCCTCCTACAACGCGCTTAGTCGGCATATTTCGGAAAATATCGACGACAACCTTCCCAAACAAGTGAAAATGTGTGAAATGCAGACTTTCGTGTTCTCGATTTGACGTCACATTACCCGCTAGAACCATTCCTCTATAAACTCAATCGTGAGCCAAGATGGCGGCCGACTTTCCGTATTTTGACTGGGCACAGAAAATTGAAGATTTGAGCAAATAAAAAAATTTTTGCGCAGAAATACTCCAAAAAATACTCTTATGTCGTTAAGCAAAAAACATTTTTGGGTTTAGGTGTACTTTAACTTTTCAAGTGCTCTGCGCCCGAACAAAACCGACTTAACAAGTTACGCACTTACAAGTTTGTAAAACACTTGGAACTTTTTTCTTATTATTTAAGTGACATTTGGTTTACCAAAAAGGTTACACGCCACAGTGTACACTGTTGAGTTAGGATCATAGCAACGAAAGAACTATAAGGTCCTATAAGAGTCGCTTGAGGCGATAGCCGAGAGTGACTTAGATTCTTAAGTACTTTGCAAATATCCCAGGTGCATCCATAACTCGATAGCGTAGGTTTTAACACCGGTTTTTCCTGAGAACACAGCTTTTTCAGTTTAACGCGTGTGGTTTTTACGCAATCCTTGACACAAAATTTAAAGGAATGGACAATTTGAATGATATGGGACGAATCGTAGAGTTCCAATATTTCAGTATCACAGAGGATCTATATTTTATAGGTAGCTATTTCGCAAGGAAATTGAAGTAAAATATAAAAACTCGCGAATTAACAGCAGTTTCATTTTTCGACCTTGAACGTTTGCGCCATGTTGCGACACATCAGTGCGCCTGCTAAGACTGAAGGCAATCGTCAGTGGTCACCCTTGCTCAAATAGTGGACGCTAAATTGACCAATGGGGGAGCTTTAATTGAGCTGTGTTAGTGAGTAGTTAATCCTCATTTAAATTATAAAACTTGAATCTTTAGGCAGTGAAGATTACACCCTTATCTTGGACGGAAGTATTTTTTGTTCGTTTGTTTTTGCTGTTGGGTTTTGGTGTTTTTACGTTATTTGGAATTAGCGGATGACGTTTCATTTGAATACCCATATCTCTTAATGATGGTGGTAAATTCATGTCATTGAGCAGAAAACAATTAGGTATCCTACAAGAACAAATGTAGTTGAACTATGCCCAGTTGATAATACCGTTTTTCAGTACTGAACTCAGATTAAAGAGTCATTGTGTAGTGTAAGGTTATCTCGCAGCTTGAACCGAGCACCAAGAAATCTAAAACTAATCGATCCATCTTTACCACTAATCTATCACTAAGTAAGAAACTGCAAAAGTCAGCGTAAAGTAGGGTAGCTTACATGCCGTCAGTTTCGCAAATGTTTGATTCCTCTTTTAACATTTCATTTGCAACCATGCACGCTCTTTGGAATGGACGATACCACAGATGCTCTAGTCAATGCCTGTTCTACATGTCCAAACCGTCCGCTGATCATTAAAATGAAATGAGGCCTAGATAAAGCGATTAACTGACTCACCCTTAGGTAAGGGACAGGGTCAGCAATGGCGAAAGAAAGTCAACTAAAATGAGGAAGGTTGGCGGATCCACGTGGTAGTGTGTATTAGATGGGATAAAAAAGAAAAGGTTTCCGAAACTATGCAGCCTGGAAACTCTACTATCATACTACACTGAGGTCGCTTAAAATCACAATGTTTTTCTACCATTTAAGGATTGCCAATCTATTCTTGTTGAAATCAGCGAGCTTCACTTGGTTTTAGCAAGCTTGATATTGCCCTTTCTGTTATAATGCGATGTCCTAAGCGGCCGGGAAAGAAGGAACAGAATTTAAGCAACGGTATATAGGGGGACCGTGAGAGGAATATAATACATCAATCCATTGAATACATAATCTTCATCAAAGAAATAACAATTTCTACATTTCTTAAGGTTCTCACCGGTGTTCAAAAGTATTGGTGACAATTAATTTTGACACCTACTGTCGGCTTAATAAAGTGTATATACTCGTATGGTTTAACTGTGGGTTGTAGTAAATTTTTAATTGATCAACTTGGTTGATCCCAGCACTATAAAATTGAATCCACCATCTTAAAATGAATGTGTCAGTAAGCATACAGCGTGGTGATTGTTTGTACCAAAGTTTATTTAATTTC